TCAGATAGTCCCTGGTATAGATGGGAAGCCAACAGGAGGCAGCAGCTTCTCAGCTGTCTGCTCTATTTAGAAGATGTGGATTTCTTATACTTTCAGCTCCAGATAGGTCTATTTCAGCCAAGATTTTCTTTAATCTTTTTGGGATTTTTTTTAAAGGAAGGAATGTGATTTCTTGGCCTACTGGAAATGGATAAATACGTTTTTCACAGTTATGAACCCTGTAGATTAGTAGCAAGAACACTGAGATGCTTTCATTTTTCATCCTTCCTGTCTCTGTTTCTAGAATCATAGAATCGTTACGTTTGGAAAAGACGTTCAAGATCATCGAGTCCAACTATAAACCCTTCAGCACCATCCTGCCAAACCATGTCCCTAAGTGCCTCATCTACACAGTTCTTGAACTGACAGGGATGGTGACTCCACCACTGCCATGGGCAGTCTCCCAATGCTTCACCACTCCTTTTCATGTAGAAATTCTTCCTAATGTCTGACATGAACCTACCCTGGTGCATCTTGAGGCCATTTCCTCTGGTCCTATCGGTAGTTATTCTGGAGAAGAGATCGAACCCCACCTCCCCACACCCTCCTTTCAGGCAGTTGTAGAGCATGATAAGGTCTCCCCGGAGCCTCCTCCTCCTCACACTAAACAACCCCTGCTCCCTCAGCCGCTCCTTGTGAGCTCTGTGCTCCAGTCCCTTCACTGGCTTCGCTGCCCTCCTCTGGACACACTCCAGCACCTCCACGTCCTTCCTGTACCGAGGGGCCCTAAGCTGATGCAGTCAGTGTTTGAGGGGCGGCCTCAGCAGCGCCGAGCACAGGGGGCCGATCCCTTCCCTGCTCCTGCTGGCTGTGCTGTTCCTGACACCAGCCAGGAGGCCCTTGGCCCTCTGGGCTCCCTGCTGGCTCCTGTTCAGCCGCTCTCCACCAGCAGCCCCAGGCCCCTTTCTGCCCTCAGCTTTCCAGCCGCTCTGCCCCAGCCTGCAGTGCTGCTTGGAGTTGTTGTGACCCAAGTGTGGGGCCCGGCCCTTGGCCTTGTTGAACCTTCTACAGGTGGTCCCAGCCCATCGATCCAGCCTGTGCAGGTCCCTCTGCAGAGCCTTGCTACCTTCAGGCAGATCTTTTCCTCCCAGCTTGTGCAGTCTGCAAGTTTGCTGAGTGCCCTCATGCAGGTCATTGATAAAGACAGAGATATTACCACTCCTTCCCCTACCTGCCAAAGAAAAGATACACATGCTATAATGAGAAGACATATATACTCTCAGCGCTTTTAATTGTCCTTTTACTTAATTGTCCTTCCTGGTAGCAGCATCTCAGAGCTTACACATTTATTGTGATCTCAGTTGCCTTTGTGTAGGATAGCTTTTGCCTTCAATGTAATATTGTAAGGACGAGTACTGTTTGAGGAGGAGGTACAGAGCCCTCTGGGGTGCCTGTCTCTTGGTTAAATGTTTTTAAGAGAAAGGATGCAAATTTGTTTTCCATATCTTATTTCCTTTTTAGAAAATGGGGATTCATGTTTAGAAAGGTGACAAGTTATTTAGAACAATTCTCTCTTAAATGAAATGCCTTTCAGTCATGTTTTATCTTTTTATCCTTGTAATTCTAATTCTAAAATTATGATGACAGACTTCTAATGGAGGATGTCACATGCTGTTAATAAGGAGTCTGACTGCTGTGGAGTGAAGGGAAAAAGGGGTGGATATCTTTAATTATAGATGTTTGGGGAAATCTGAGAAGAGACTATGCTGTATCATGGCCTACACTTTTACACTTCAGCCGTTAGGATACTTAAGAGAGGTTGGTCAATATGTTGAGCTGCTGTGGGCATGTTAAATAGAAAATGAGTAAGGTGAGGATGGACATTTGTGCCCCTTGTTAAGTAAGTTAGGTGCAGAAATTTTTGCTGTCAGAGAATTCTAAAGCAATTGCCTGGACTAATTTATATATATATACACACACATACATGCACACACACTCACATATCAGTAATGTACTTTTTATGGCAATGATTTTCCAGGACACAAATAGCTGGATTTATGGCTGTGTAAGCAGCAATTCATCTATGTGGTGAGTATAACTGCTTTCTGTTCTTACTCAGTTAGATCTTATAAGGCTATATTTGGGTGTCGAACCATGCAAAGTATACCAGCTTGTGAAGGAGGAGATTGGCAAGAAGAGTAAAATTATTGCTTTGAATAACTTGTGAGTTTTCTTTGTCACAAAGAAAATGGGAAAGAACAGGCTTCCTCAAAATCTCTTCAGAATCCTGTGACAGAAGACAGCAGGTGTCATTCAAAACCTTCAGAAGAGTGCATTGAATCTTGCTCTGTTGCTCTTTTTTTTTTTTTTTTTTTAATATTCCAAAACTATTTCCATAGGAAAATAATTAGAAATGAGGATGATACTGTGATAACTTCAATCTGGTCATTAAAATCTATTTTTCACGCTGGCTTAGCTTTACCTTTTTGAACTCTTCTCAAAGAAAATTCAATCTACATTTTAGACCAAGGAAAGCTTCCACATGGAACTGAGCCAGTGCAGGTTTATCCGTGCTGAGACAGCCACGTGTCACAGTCACTTTGGCTCTGCCCAAGGGAAAGGTGCCTGTTACTCTTTTTGTATACCCTCTGAGCAGCGCCCAGTCCAGGTTAGCCTAGTTCAGAACTGCTACATAAAACCTGATCTAATAGCAGTGGTTTTGCTGTGGACTTTGTTGTGCGATCAGGTAACACTATTTAGAAACACGAAAGTATCCTGATATTCTAAAAATCATTCATCAGAATGACTGAAGGAATCTCCTGTTCAGTGTATTAACTTAATTGAAGTGCACACAATTATAGAAGTGCTGCAATATATGCAACAGCTGGTAAAAATTGATTCAAGTGATACGTTATGGATGTTCATGTAGGAAGAATGGATACTTTTGTGGCTTTTTTTTCTTTTTCTTTTTTTTTAAGATGCTAATAAAACTGTGTGTTAATTTAATGTCTGTGCTGTCTTGGCTTATTAACAATTTTCACTATATGTCAGTGGCTAATAGTTGCTGTGTGTCATGTTATAACTGGAAAAGTTACAGCTTTGCCTATTTTTTTTTTTCTCTCAAAAACATCTGAAATGTACCTGTAATGTTTAGATGCAGTATTTGAAAAGCAGTATATGCAATGATTAGAGTTTGATAAGTTATTACGCTAGCAGAGTGTAGTAGGAACTTGTCCGTAATTTGTAATCACGTGCATCAGTGTGGAGCTGGAAGAAAGCTGGTATGTTAATCCGCTATCGTAATTCAGTGCCTGCAAAATTAATATATTTATCCTTTAAAACACTTGTGTCTTTGCAGCCTGGAAGCCACTGATTTATCCTGGAGGGCTGAGTTACTTCCAGCTATCAAGGTATGTACTTTATTTACCTTGTAGCTGGTGGGGTGTTCGGTGGGGGAGCTACGGATAGTGCAGAAAGGATCAATTCTAAGCACAGCTTTGAAATGTGCAGTTGGCATGGGAGGTGATCTGGGAAGTGGACAAGGGGAGAATTAAGTGATATATTCAGTAATTTTTTTTTTGATAGGTTGTAATACTGAAACTTGAGGATTATCCTTCTTTATCCCATATTGTCATTTATGTACAACCCACAGTTGGCAAGAAGGTAATAAATAAATAAATAAATGCTTACTCAAAGTATTATTCCTAACTTTCAGATGCTCTGTTGGAAGGAAAAGGAAATATATTAAGTATATGCTAAATTACTTTGACGAACTATAGCCCTACTCTGCAGTACGGTTTGAGGGTAATTTTATTTTCCTCCAGCTCAGAAACACTTTCAGTTGATAAAATTACAAGTAGAGGGCATTAAGTAGATAAGATATTTAAAGATACAGAGCATCAGTTCACAAATCAATTCACAGAGGGATTTTTTGGGGGGCTTTTACTCCTTGATTTGGTAACATTATGATTGTGTTCTGAATATTCAGCGTTTTGAACAGTCGGTTCTCTCATCCAGCATAGCAGAGAATAGTGTAGGTGTCTGGAGACACCCAGTGCGCGTCGTGGAGCGCATGCTGCAGGCGGCTCCGCGAGGCCTGGCGCTGGACGTAACGTGGGAGGCTGAAGCCAAGCAGGGCTCGTGCTGCCAGAGGAGCTGGCAGAGCACCAAACGTGAAAAATGTCTTGGGTCATCTACCAGGCCTTTCTGCAAGGCAAATCCAGCGTTTCTGCATCTGTGGTATGATAATCCACGATCCAGGAATTTGCTCACTGCAGTTGCATTGATCTTAATTTTCTTTTACGCGAGTACCTTCAGGAGGTTGTGCCAAAGATGCCTCGCAGTTGAATTAATAGAGTGTTCTGGGTAATCGTGAAAAAGAAGATAGATCGTTTGTGCAACTTTATCTGCTGAGTTGCATTTCAGTGTTAAATCTCAGAAACTTTTAAAATGTTTTGGGAGAAAGCCAACATAACCTGGAAGTTATGTTTACGCACTACTGTGTACAATAACCGCCTACCAACCTTCCCTACTAGTGGAGTGTGGAGAGGAGATTTTTTGGTATTTGCACGTTGTCCTCTGCCAGAGGCAGTGCAGAGAGCTGGGTAAGAGCGAAGGCCGTGCTCAGCTGACGTGTGTGTTCATTACTTCTGAATTGCAGTTTACTTTGGACTGTGAATTCTTCCAAGAGGATTCCAGAACAGTGCAGCTTCCTGTAACATATCTCCTTTCTTTTGGTAAGCAAGCTACTAGTGCTAGCTACTAGTACTAGTATTTTGGTAAGCTACTAGTACAAACATTTTGAGTAATAAACCCCCCAGTTTTTGGAATTTTGGGGAAAATTTATTTTACTAAATTTAATATGTCCCACTTAATGGGGACAGGGGAAAGATTTTTTTTTTTGTCTAACTGAAATAGAAGCATATAAATCTCTATTGGTGAAAAAAAAAATCACCTTCACATGTAGCAAGTTCTCAAATCATTTAATCTAGCATATGATAACAACACGTTCTTTGCAGGGCTTTTTTCAAGGAAAATTGTGCTAAATTCAACAGGCTTACTTTACAATGTACAGCTCCAGGATTTTGACCAAGTAAGGCTGTTACTACATGTTTTAAGTTAATATAACCACTATTTGGACAATATAAGCAAGCACATGCATTTATATATTTGTTTTGTTTTAGATATATCAAGCTTTCAAAATCTATATAGAGAGCCATTGCCAATTACCCAAAGGTAAATATGTGTTCTCTAAAAGTATATATTTATTTCAAAAATGGAATCTTGAAAATTTTCCATATGTTTGTCTCTGTATTTTTCACTTTTTTTTTTTTTTTTTTTGTTTTGGGCGGGGGCGCAGAGTTCAAAGCAAACAAAGAAATAGTTCCCTTGCTGAGAAGCAGACTGACCTGAAAACTGGCACTTTTGGCAAGATTGTTGCTATGTTGAAAGTGTTTCTCAGGAATAGATCATTGACTAGGAGGGTTTTTTTTTGTGCTAAATATGAGAGTCAACGTTGCATGTTGTTGAATGATGAGCTACATGAACTCAGCTAGATTGGAAGCTAAAGGACTTAAAAAAAACAAAACAAAACAAAAAACAGTTTTAGTCAATGTCAAAGCAACTTGCAAAGCAAAATTCTGCATAATGGTCTGTGTGCCACATTTGTATACTTTGCATTTTTTATGGTGAAGTTAGGCCAAACTTTACAGATGGAAGTATATAAAGTAACACTGTTGATCTGTTGGATGGGTTGTAAGGAAATGGCACATGGCTAAGGTTTGTTTGCTTCATTGAGTTTTTGCAGACACTTGCCATATATTGTTCTTAATGATAAAATTTGAATTATTTAATTATTTTTATTTTCAGAAAGAAAACCTAGTGTTTACAGACTTCATATACCCTGGTCACATGAAGACTCAATAACTGTAGCTAAGTAAGATTTTTAATAGTTCTACTTGATTTTTTAATATCTTTTTGAAGAGAGTTTACATCCTTTTGTGGTAATATTTCTGAGGAGACATGTTCAGCAGTCTTAAATGTTTGGCTTCTGCATCATTTCTCTTTCTGCCCTAGTTGACAAAGAAGCTCTTTTGACTTTTCCTCCAAATAAATTTATCTACTAATAAATCTGCTAACTGTTTTCTTAATAGGCCTTTCTAATTTTCTGAAAATGGAAGTCACATCTGGTCTGAAATTTTCAGCATGATCTTTGAGCTCCTTTTTGGTACATAACAGTAGCTTATATATCATTATTTAACACCTGATGATTTGTTACTGTTCAGTCATGTTTTAAAAACTTCTTCAGCTGAAGTTTCAATATCAGATAGTGTTTCAGGTATGCATTTAGTGTGTTTTTGTTCTGGCTTCAGAATCGGTGTATGTTTATTCTGCCTTGAGGAAATACCATTTGCATAAAATAAGTTTATATTCTTTACTTAACATGTATCAAAAAATTAAACAGTGATACTTGGTAAGTTTTTGGACAACTAAACATTTATTATCCTGTGTAGCACTTTTTCAAAAATCCTTCAAAAATCTCCTTAGCAACATAGAAAACTGATTTTCAAGTTATGATGCAAAATCTGTTTATAATGGAATTAACTGAAATATATTAGCTACCTGGTTTTAATATGCAATCTGACTGTACAAACCACATGCCAATTTTTTGACTTGCTGTTAACTACCTGATACAAACCCTGGACTTCAGAGGACCAAGTGAGGGTGAGGAGGGAAGGGTGTGTGGGGACCTACCTCATGACTAGGGCAGGGAGGTTGATCTGGGTACTGATTCTCTCCCATAGCCCTGTGCTCCAGCCGCATAGTCTGACATCAGAGCAAATTTTATGGCTTGAAATATGTGCCACTTACGAATCACAGCTGAATAATCCAGTTTAACATCAAATAGTTGGAAAGCTGTCTTTCTCTCTTTATTTTAAAGGCCTTAAGGATGCCTCCCTACTTTTTTTCCCCCTATATTTTCTACTCTAACAACTTAATGTTTGTAGGAGCCTGAATGGTATTCTTGAGAACCTGTCCTACCTATTTTCCTTACTCACAGGTTCTGTGAGGCAGTCACTAAAGCTAAATTTGCTTTAAAATCTTTTTTCAGTACCAGTTGAAGAATGTCATGCATTTGGCTTTTTTGGTTTTGAGTAAAAGAGTTACCAGTTAAGTTGCTATTTCAGAGTTCCATCTCTTACTGAGATCTCAGCAAAACTGCATATTGCACAGCCTGAAAATGACAGCAGGGTTCCAGTGCTAAACATTTACTCTTCCTCTGACTGTCAGTACGAGGTGAGTAATGCACGTGTGTCTTAGAGCTTGTTTGTGTTTGATTTTTTTGGCTTTACCTTAGCCTTTGCAATTATGTAGATAACTAAGCAAAACAAACACTAATCAAATGTAAATTTGGGCTCTTTGTGTGTTTTTGAATGTAGAGCATGATAAAAATACTTTGTAAATGGTGGGATACTACTGCATGCGGGATAATTTCTTAATAAAAGTTTTAACATAATTTGCTTTTTGTAAACTTTTGTCGCTAGTAAGCTGTTATACATCTAAACTGTGTGATTGCCTTAATACTTAAGGCTTTTGACAATGTGGTTTTTATTTATGTTTACAATTTTTCAAAATAATACTCAACAAATTGCTATTTTTTGTTCATTAAGGTAATCCTGAAGACATCACTTTTACAGGTTCTTGGGCAAGTAAGAAAACTTTCTTCTAAAGATTCTAATACTGGATGTCATTTTTCTATAGGTAGTGCCTATATAGTTTTTCCTTCTGCTCTTCTCCCCCTCCCCTGCCTGTACCACCTTAAATTCCTACTTGGTGTCAAGATACAACTGAAGATACTATTTAATGATCCGTTAAACCTGGCCACTTAAGGCATCCTATCCAGGCCTCAGCTTTCGGGATAGTAGAAAACTACTGTAGTTAGAGGTAATATAAATGATTGTTCAGCATTTGGAATTATAGTTAACTTAATATCTGTAAGGGAGTGAGAATGTAGGTCATCTTTACCTTGCCTGATAAGTCAGACATATTCAGATTTGAAAATTATATTTGACATGAAACAGCAGTTAAAAAAGTCTAAACAGAACCATATATTCCTTTTTTAGCAAGTTTTCTTTGACCATACATGAATAATACATTTACACATTGGTAATGTACAAGTGAACTAGCTGTCTGCAATCCTTGACTCTAAAAACTATTTAATTCCCAAGCACCTAAATGTAATGCTGAATATTACTGACACGTTTATGCAATGTATGCATTCATAGAGAGTTTCTATGCTCTCTGTATATATTTGGATGGTGTTTTGTGACTGGGGGAGCAGCAGGGAAGACAAGTGCAGAGTACATGAAATGGCAGCACTGCAAATGCTTTGCCCCCACACATACATAGCTGTATGCATGTCTTGCTTGGAAAGTGGCTTTCTGCTTTTGGTGTTTTTATTTTACTCGAACACAATTAATGTGATGATATATTCTTTTCACGTTTTTCTTGACTGGAAAAAAAAAAAGTATGTGGTCCTTGAACAAAACACGTGGGTAGCTGTTTGAGAGAGATCTGAGTATTTTCTGTACTTACCCTGGTTATCAAATTCTCATGAACCAAAATGTGAAACAGTTTGCATCCTTTCAAACAGATTTTTCCAACCACATTATAATGATTACTTGATGATAACATTATATGTGTGTGTGTGTGTGTCTGTACACATGTGCATATATAAAAATCCTTATATTCTTGTCTTTCAGATAATAAGGTTCCATGGCTGTTCTCTTCCCGTCTACATTGTTTCTAATATTCTTCTCACCTATGGAGGCCAATTAAGCACATTGATATCAACGGGTAACTTTTTAGACTCTTTTTCTCATCACAAATGTTTTCCAGCAGTAGACTGAGTAATTTCATTAAAGACTAGTTGCTTTGGTTATTTTTTCTCTGTTAGATATCACTGCACTTGTACAAATACTTGCATCTATGCACTTCAACTTCAAATTTATTAGCAGTTCTTCAAGGTTGGCTTCCAGCAGTGTTAGACTTACTGTTTTTCTCTGCTATCCCTTCCTTATAAGTGATTGGTGTTTTACACAATACACAATTGTAATATAAATAGAAGTTTGCATAAAAGTACATGTATAAAAGTAAAATATGTCATTGATAGACACAAAATACCTCAATCTTGCACAAAGACGAGATTTGCAGGCTAGCTTTTTTAGACACGCTTTTTGATAAAATACATTTTCATTAAGAGTCAGGTGATATTTGTCAAGAAGTCAGTAATCTCACTGAAAGTTATTGTGTCATGTTACTTGAGTAAGAGTGATTTGGTGGATGCAGGTTTTGTCGGAGTACGCTGACTTACATGAGTGCTGTAAGATACATTTACCTTGCTTTAAAGTAAAGTTTTAAAGTTTTGTCTTAATTTACTTTCTTTGTTGTTATGTTTGTTGTCTTTACGACAAAGTATTAATTATTACTGCTTTCTGTTCTTGATTCTAGGCCAGTGTTCAGAATTTCCTCTTGAACTAGTTAGGACAGCTAAACCCTACAAAGTAGACCCTATTATAAGCATTGTTGTGTTTCTGCTGGGGTAAGTTTGTAAGGTGTTTTTTGTTTTGGTTGGTTTTTCATTTGGGGGGTGTTTGGGGTTTTCTAAAGCAGCTTCCAAAACAGAAATTTCAGGAAAACTATTGCAGGGGAAGAAGATCACTTTATTTGTACTTATGCACGATGCTCACTCTGGAGGGTGCGTTAGCTGGGAGATGTGACAAGTGTTCCCCATGCACCTTCGTCACCCCCAGACCAACTTCTCAAACATTCCCACTATGGTCTTTTGATACCAACTGTGATTTTGTTTGAAAGGCTGCAGTAGGAAGAATAGTTCATGTATATCTTACTGTACTGGCACCTGGAGGTGATAAGTAATACTGCTTTCATGTTTTTGGCAGGTTTAACTGGTTTAGAGAGATATGGGATTCACTGTCACTACCAGAGGTGGATGCTGCAGTACTGAGTAGTCAGGATGCATGGTTCCCCCTTGTGTCCCTGATTCTATTTCTTTTTGGGACAGGCATTGCATACTGGAGTGGTGTATTTTTCTCTTCATCTCTGAGACTCTTCTCTTTGATATGGTTAACTCTAATAAGGTAAATCATCATTATAATGATGCTCTTTGAAATTATTGAGACACTCAACTTTTTTTTATTTGTTTCAATGCAAATACTCGGGCAGATTAAATTTGGCAATGCAACATGGTTTTAGCCATCTCGATTTGCCAATGTTAAGTGCTAATATGTGGATTGCATCATTTTCCTTCTTGCACATCTTCAAAAGAGAATGCAAAATGCTTTCTTGTTTCCTTCACCACCTGTTTGATGATTTCCAGTGTGTTTTTAGATGAACCTTGCTTTGGAAGAAACCTTGGTGAAAAGAAAGCAACTGAACTATTTCCTTTTCATGCTAGGCAGCTCTCTCTCTATATATATATATATATGTATATATCCACATACGTGTATATATATAAAATATATATATTTAGAAAAGGGAGTAGAGCAGTGTACTACTCATTGAACTCCATAACAGAGACTGCCTGTCACAGAACACACACTTGTGCAACACAAATGTTTTGGACTCTTAATTTCAGTCTTCAAGACTGATAAATTTTACAAATGATGTCTAAGAAAACAGTAGATTTTTATGTATTTACAGATGAGTGTTCAAATATGAAAGGAGGTTGAAAAGTAGTAAAGGAAGGTTAAAAAGTATTTTGGAAGAAATAAACAATAGTAAATTGGATAATGTGCATGACTAATTGTTTGACTCTTCTCATGTTGGTTCAGTCTGTGGCTAGTTTTGACCCAACAGAAGCCTTTTTTCTCTAGGAGGTTGGTTGGGTTACTCTGCTCGGAAAAAAGAAACTACATGAACTCTTTTCTGGGTTCTTCACTATTCTGCTGAATTCTACATGTGTTATAAACTATTTCTTTTCAACCTTCTTATTTATAAAATCGCAGCAAATGCTAAGAAACTTCAGTAAAGTGATGAAGTGGTTCCTTTTAAGTTTTGAATTTACTCTTATCACATTTTTGAGTTTTTTTTTTCCTAGCTTAATTATTCTCTTTTCATTAAAGCTTTTGATTACTATAAAACCCTGAGAATGTCTTGGGCAGCGGCAGAAAAATAGTATTTTTGTGTAGCCTGCCTGCAAGTCAACTAGTTCATTTTGGAATCCTCTAGCCACAGGTTCTGATCTAGCCCTTAATTTCTTGAAAAAACATTTATTTTCTATAAGTCATTCTAAAGTAGATGATGTTTACTTGGATTTTGATCGCAAAAAAATTATCACTAGTCATTAATGGCATCATTGTTCCCATGAACTAGTTGTCCTTTTGTGGTTATTTTCAGTATTTGTTGCAAAAACTTAAAATTATATTTCCTGAATAACATTTCTTCCGTTTTTAATATCTGTTTCAACACTGCATTCTCTAATGCTTTATGTTCCCCAAATAAAGTAGTGCATTAGTTAGACATACATTCTCAGAGCTGTAAGACTGTCTCGTTAGTTTCTGATGAGAGACTGTATTAATAAGGTAGTTTACTTTGGTATATATGTTTCACTTTGAGTAACTTTGGTTTTCCCAATGATTCATCATTATTGAAGAATAATCAATTGTTTTCAGTCATTCCTGAAACAGAATAATTCTTTAATCTTTGGAAATGTGATTCTGTTGCGAGTGTAGTATAAGGGTTTCTTGTTTGTTTTTGTCTTTTTTAGACCTTCTGTACGTCAAAAAGATACCAGGCTGATGACACCCCGAAGAGTGTGCATGGTGGTGTCTCTTGCTTTGGTTAGCTGGACCACTTGTGGTGCATTTGCAGTACTCATGGTTTATCTTCGATATGTGTTTAAGGTACTGACAGGCTAAATGCTTGGGTCAATATACGAATAAAAAATGTTGAATTAACCCAGTGTTAAAAGCAAAGATGCAGTCTGCCCTTTTTTGTGTTTAAGTAAATGTTGTTACTCATAGAGTTGCAATAGCTTATTTGTACTTACTGAAGACTTTCACGCTTCTGTAATTTTTAGAGTTGTTTTGTTCTTATCATAGTATTTCTTCCAAAAAACCTACATGGTACCGTATGCCCACTATAATAATTCATAAAGGTACACTTTTTTACTGTATGTAAAAGTTATAAATAGCAACATAAGGTTACCCGGCAAAGGACACGTCCCTGCTGACACTATTCCTCCTCCTGCAGCAAATTCTTTGCTATTGGACTGTACATTTGTGGCCTGTTTACGACTTTCTGTGGAAAGAGAAGCAGAACTGAATTAGCAGAAAGGAAGAGGAGACAGTGAGGAATATACAGCTTCTCCCGTGTGCTGTCAAACTCAGGGGACCAGGGGAAAGCTTTTTTTAATTATTATTATTATTATTATTATTTTGTATGCTACAACTTTCATATGAAGAAACTCAAGGCAAAAAATGTCTTTCTGCCTTGCAGGTTATTAAACTGTATGCAAGCGTAAGAGCAGAACAAAATGTGCTTAATGGGGTAAGCTCATCTCCTTCTTGTTTTTAGAATAAATGATCAAAAATTATATGGCAAACTGTATTATATGGCAACCAATATGTTAAGAATTGTTAACATCTTGCCTAGGTAGAATTTGACTGGAAAGAACCTAAAAGATGCTGTGGTGACTGGCTGGCTGCGTGTGTGGTGTGAAAGCCAGGACAGGAGTAGTTTGTTCCATTGCATGTTACTCTTGCATTCACTCTTGTTGCAGAATAAATATAAGTGTGTTTAGGAAGGAAAATTTAGTCTCTGGACACGTACGGAACTGTAACTTTTTTCTGTCTAACCTTTGGTATTTGTGTACATATGTATATCTAAAGAAATAAGTTTAATTTCCAGATAATCTATACTTTTAATTAGGAAGTGACAAATGTAGTTTATTAGATGGGTATGGAATGAGACTGCAGTTAACTGCTGAAAATGAATGAAGCTGCAAAATAACTTTATTTTTTCTTCTGGTTGCTTTAACAGGATCTAAAGAATATGCATATGCTTTTAGATGTAATAACTGTCTCATTTTTCTCAACCTTACAATTAAAAAGCTATCTGCCAGGAGAACTTGTGGAAAGTTTTCTTTATATTTGGAGGGGGAGTTTTTAATTTAAAGTCACTATCTTTTTTTTTTTTCATCTCCATATTCTCTTACCTTTCTTTCCCCCTTTTTTTTCCCACCTGTAGTTGAAAGCATCTGCTTTCTCCTCATTATTCCATTTTTGTTATTCCTACAACTTACACCTTACTGCCACTTGTGTTACCTGCTGAATTTTTTTCTGAATGATTATCTGTGATTTTTCACCCACATGCTTTATTATCCTTATTCTGTTCCACCTCCTTCCAGGAACTCATTTTCCCATCACTACAGTTGTCATGGGTATCTTCACTCTTGTTTTTTCTCCCAAAGATATATATACTGTTGTTATAAGGGGAAATTGCTGATTGAATTCAGATGCTTTAAAATTGTAGTAGTAAGCTTTTCTTTTGATGGCTTTTCAAGGTACAAACTGCAAAATTTTTTCTTAAATCACAGCTAATACGATACAGTTTGAGCTAGTCTCTCCTGCCTCGTTCTCCAACGTGGAGTTTTACAAACCAGGACATGTTTCCATGATTTGTTTTTTATTTGCAGGATTCAGAGCACTCGGAAGAAACTTCACGGAATGCCGTTAAACACACAGTCAAGAAACGAGATTCAGTACATGGAGCATCAGAAGAAACACAGCCTCTCTGCAACAACAGAACAGTTGCTGAAGATGTCAACAGTCTTCGGATGCATGTAACAATCCTCAATTTATTCACATGGATTATGCTGCTCAACTTGCCATCTTTAATTTATTGGTTAAAAAATCTCAGGTAACATCTTAAACTGCAGCTAAGGAGAATGTAAAAAAATGTGTACTTTTCTAACAAAAAGGTAGTCAAAATAGTAAATGCTTGGCTCTTCGTATTATTCTTTACCTTACTTGTAGCATCAGTCTCCAGTTATTTGTGACAGTTTTTCTGTGTTAGCTGTCTTGTGTAATTGTATAAGTGGATGTTAAGTGAATCGATGATACGTTGAGAAAAGTGATAATGCAATTTGAATCAGGCTGTGATGCCACACACATTACATGGGGGTTTGTGTTGTTAGGGTATGCTTGTTCCCAAGTGGGTTTGATTTAAGAGCCTATTTTCTGGAGTAGGCTGCAGCCCCTTAAAAATAACACGCTTTTAAAACCAATTCACTTTTTTGCAGGTACAACGTTAGACTTGATCCTGACCCATGTAGATCTACCGCTATTATCCTTGTATCCGTTTTAGAAATTCTCATGAATTCAAGCACTTCTGAAGTGAAATCAAGGTACGGTGGCCTAAACCCCCCTTTCTGTCTTGCTTCTTTCTACTCCTTCCATTTCTGTGTTAAAGCTTTATGTAGCAAAGATGCAGTTGATCAGTCCGCACAGAGATTCTTAAACTTGTATGGTTAAATCTTAAAAAGAAGAGCTAGGTAAAATGCATGCAAGTTACCTGTGATTCAGATACATGGGGAAAAAGTTTACCTGTATGCACCGTATGGACGTAGATGGAGTATTTGCTATCTAAACAATCACTTGAATAAATAATATTTTACTGATGAAATTTTCATCTACAGTTCAATTAGTCCCTCCAAATGTTATGGAATTCTAATGTATCTTAGTGTAATTATCATTAGAAAGGGGCAATGAAAAGTGGCAGTTAAACCATGATAGTCAGGTTCTTGTACATTCCCCTTGCGAGGACATTGGCAGCAGGGTAGCCTGTGCGTCCTGCCCAGTTAAGCAACTTTGCACACTTTGTGTTGTGGACAGGAGGCCGTTGCTTGTTCAGGTAGAAAATCTATCAGTGTCCCTAAAACATTAAGAATAATAAATAATACAGGTTATTCTTTTGGACAGTACCTGTTAATTCAAATGTTCTAAAATACTGCTTCTTACGTTGTTACTGGGAATTTTTCAGAAATTAATATAAGAATATTAAAGGAATTTTTAAATGTCTGCCTTTTTGTGTACTTAGTTTCGCTACAGAATTGTTATTGACCATTTAATCTATTTGTTCTATTTAAAAAGTGATCAAACCCTTGAAATCTATAAATTTTTAAATAAGGAGAAATATGGTATTTGCCTATCTTGTGCTTCAGCTGTGGCTATAAAACTGGTAACTTTTTCTTTCTTATTTTATCTTACAGTAAACTCTTGAAGATTGCAGCCAAAATTCCACTCCCTTTGTCTGTTGCAATGCTGGCCTTTGGGCAAATGCATTTATACAGAATACCCCACTTTATAACTTTTTCTCTTCTTCTACATGTATTGTGTTGTACTGTATAACGTTGATTTTGCAAACAAAGAACAGTGCAGCCTAGAAACCGACACTGGAGACATGGCAACTTTCAACAAAGAAATGCCTAGATTTATATAATGAATAATTAACAAGATTTGGGAAAGATGATGGAACTGCGAATATTAATGGTGGTTTTCATGTTGCTTAGAAAGCTTCTCGTGGTGTTTATTTTTCTCACTAGAAAAATTAAGTGAATTATGTGTGTGTGTAAGCACATAAATCTTTGTCCAACATCTCAGTTTTCTATTTGCCTTGCAGAGACTTTTGATATTTCACTGTACTTCTTTGTTGAAACAGACTTTTTTTTAATTTAGTATGCTGATGCAGTGTGTATGTTTTGAACTTGCACCTTTTGCAGTTCTAAAGTATGCTGGTTACACCTTAAATTTCAAGCACACTGTGACCATCACAAAACTACACAGCCAAGTATACTTGTAATCATTTTATGCTACGCTTATAAACTGCCACTGTTGTGTCTAGGTAAACTAGAATGTACTGCTTCTACAGAACTGTTAATTCTAGCAAATTATTTGTTCAGTCTGTTTCAGTTGAACATTTGTGAGAAATTCAAAGTCTTGACATTTTACTTTTTGTGACAGTGATGATTAGACTGTGTGTAGCTTTCTGTTCAGGAAGGTTAGCAGCAGTCATAAACCATTTGCTATAGTGTTGTTTTAAAACATTGCCAGTTTTCTCTAGAATTTTGTCCGCTGGGGCTTGCCCATGCACAGAAGCAAGTTTGCAGTGCGTTTGTGATGCTGTGCTGTGTTTCCAAGTAGACATGGCAGATTTTTTTTTTTTTTTCCTAGGCAGGGTAAATGGTGAAGCAACTGTCTTACAGTGAGTGTCCACACAGAGTTAATGTGGAATAGCTTCAATATTGTAAATTTATGCTCTGCCTGTGTTAAATTCTTTGTTTGGACAGACCTTTAGTGGGAAATAACTGACCGTTACTATTAGCACTGTATGAAGTATTATCTTAGTGCCTAGATGCTACAGTGACTGCCACTCATAACACTGCTCAAAATAGCTGTTTGTAAGGAGGTCTGTCCCCTAGATATGCATTTGCTAACAAAAGAAATTCCCCTAGCCATTAGGTTAAAATGATCTATAGTTATTAAAAATGATTTGTTGACTCAGTGTAGAGGTGAGGTTCTGTGTTTGCTGTCTCCACCATCTCTGAGGCACCTGTCATCTTAGTATGGAAACACTAGACCAGCTTAACTGTCTCAAAATATGGGTAATAACAGGAAATTTACTCACACTCACTCAACTGAAAATATGTACTTCATATAGTAGTAGAGCCTGACCCACTTATTGTAGCTCAGCGGTCTTGCCTGAAGTGCCTCAGTTCTTGCTTGTTCGTAGAGTTGATTTATTTGAGCTGGTTGGGAACCCTGACCCGTTCATGTAGTGACTTTCCAAAATGAAGGACAAGTACGAAGCAAGCACGTGTTCTGTCTCCTCGTAAGAAAGCCACCAGTTCAAGCTATCAGTAAGTCATTAAAACCACTTTAACTGAGTAAGATTATTGTTACTTAAACCAGTGTCGTTGTTATCAATCATCTATGTACTAGTCTTCTAGTCCTAATATTTTATATAAAAGACTAGATTATGCAGAGTGTTTGTAATCAGAAAAGCTGTCTGAATGGATTGTATCTTGATCCCTTCCTTCTAACTAAATGTATGCTACAATATATGTATATGGGTGAATTGTGTGTGTATATATCTGTAGCTAAAATCAAGAAGTCTATTTAACCTAAAGATTCAAACATAGAATAATAGATTTTCTACCATGAAATGGCTGTTGGTGAAGGATCATGACAAAGCTGCACTGAGGCAGTGGTAAAAGGCCCTCTGTGAAATAATGTGGGATCTGATTTCTAGAGATCTGTATGGGTCGTCTTTGCTTGCTACTATATTGTTTCTCTAATTTGGGTCTGCCACCCCTAGTCTCTTTATTCTACGTGTGAGCCTGTCTGTCTTAATGATTTTATTGGAGCTGCAGGTGGAATAAAATGATAGTCAGAATAAGAAGAGTTAACAGTGCCAGTATATAGTAACTTAGATAGCTTTGGTAAAGGCTTCCAAAACTTACCTCAGTGTAAAATATACTGAATTGTAGCAGCATAAAAGAACACTTTTTTTTTTTTTTTCATCTATCAATATTTTTCTAAAGCCAGGAATTGTGCCGATGCTCCCTTTTTCCAGAGGTTACGTTCCTTCCCTGGGGGTGCAGGAAGTCACACTGCTAGTTCAATTTTGTGTGCTTTTTGTGGTGTTTGCTAGGTGAAAGCTTTGTTGCCAGAGATGCGTGTCTGGAGTTTGCAGACGGTGATCGTGGACTGTCTAACAACTTAGGCTGCTTGAGAGCCTGGCATCTACTCCCAGCCAGGCTCCCTGTACAGCCATTGCGGGGAGGGAAGGGGAATGAATGAAGAATACAAGTCCAGAGAACAAATCATCCCATCATAAGAGAGGTTGAATAATACCCCTACTGAAAAGGGCAGCGTTTTATAAATGTCTAAAATTGTTTTTCAGGTAAACACAATGATTATCTGTTTTTCTTCTTTTTGGAGAAGCAGTTCTTGTTATGTAAACTTCTAGTTCCGCCACCTTTAAAAAGAGAATAAAAAGCAGGGTAGGAACCTAGAGTACCAAATATTACTAATTCTAAGTACAGTATATTTGTGAAGCAAAAATCACCATTGTCTTGGTGGGATTTCTGAGAACTTCTAGTGAGATCTCCATATGCTGAATTACTCTCTCTATTTTTTTTTTTTTTTTGCATTTGATGTGTTTAACCGTACAGGCTTTTCTCTACAGTCTTGTCACATTGCAGTAGTACTAGATACACTTATAGTTATCGCTTCATAATGAGTCTATGTTTGGTAAAGAAAAAAAGTGCTCCCTCTTAGTTGAATGTACCAAATGTACCTTGAAACTGAATGGATATTGTTCAAAGGTGGTATTTTTGATTCTGATTTAAAAGTGCATTCAGTATGCCACGCATTAGCATTATCTTAAATGGGGATTGTTTTTTTTTCTCAAAAAAAAAAAGCAGTAACAGGACTTTTAGTTACTATTTTTTAATATTTAGAGTTCTGCTCTGATTTTTGAGTCAACTGATATGTGTAACCATTCTGAAATATTCAAAGTTACAACAAAATAAAGTTGAAAAAAGTGATTGCAATATACAGCAGAAGAAATGGAGACTTCTTGTCTGCTTACCATAAAAATTTTAAGTGAAGTTCTCATCTATAAACTAATTCGCCTACCTCTAAAGTCAACTTTTAGAGAAAAAAAGTGTATTCATGCCTTAAATATATTGCGTAAGTTGATACTTAGTTTTCCATCTATTTGCCAGTCAGGATAGATATCACATATCACAAGATAATAAACTTGTCATTTGACCATTTTTTGAAATCAGATACATCTGCTCTCTGAGCTCTGAAGGAACAGAAGAAAGTTAATTATGTGCTTGTTCAGAAGAATTTATTTGATCAAGCTTAGTATGGTGTTAAGAGCTTCAATAGAATTTTGTATTATCCACACTGAAAAAAAGAGCAGCTATTTTACAGACCTGCGGTATTGTGATTTGCTGAAAATGTTTTGCAAGGGGAAGATTACAGTGTCTCTACAATAATTGTGTCGCTAAGTCAGTAAGCTGCTAGGCTAAGGATTTGATTTTTTTTTTTTTTTTAACATTTGAATAGTGAATGTTGGATGTTCATTTTGTGAGTTTGACTCCTTACATTGCCTTGGGCAAAATAACTGTGGTAGCTTTTTATAAACAACACTGTACTATAAACGGTTTTAAAACTTTTGTCACTGTTCCAATAGAGGGAGATACAATTCTTTCACCAAAGCTACATGCTACTCTTCTGTACCCCGGGATAAACATACTCTGTGTTAAATAATTTTTCTACTTTTTTTAGAGTTAGAATTTTAAGCTAGTATTCATAATGTTTAAAGTCCCTAAAAGTTTGTTTGAAAACCTTTTACAAATGTGTATATTTTTCTGACACATTTTGTGTTTATGGAAGAATGTAATCAAAGCTTTTAATCAGCTCATTTATCTTAAAGCTTACATTAAATAAAATGTTTAAATTTTATTTTGTTAATAGACACTACAGCTTTTGTCTAATAAATTTAAGTGTTTGGGAAGAAAAACTTGTATCAGCATTTACTTAAGGAAATCTTCACAGTGCTTCAACGCTTCAGGTGTCTAAGCACATACCTACCTTACTGCCTTGTACAATGGAAGCCTGAGTCAGAGATGTGGTATTTGGACCTGAACTTAGGTTAAAATTTCAGGTTTCCTTCTGTATTCTTGTTTTTCCGTAATATCATCCCACACATCATTCCAGCTCCTCCCTCTGCAGCAAGTTATCCCTCCCTGTAAGTAGCAAGTACTGTGAGTGGTGCAGTGAGGATGCACAGCCTCCCTCCTGTAGACTGTTCTTCTGTGGAGGTTTTGCATCTTTTAAATACCAGCAAAGAATTTTTTTTTCCCTTAACTTCCTAAATAATTTCAAGATTTGTATTAAGCATCAAGGTGAAACTGTAAGTGTCTTGGTGTTTATTTACTCTTTAATGTAAAATCAATTATTTTGAGATTAATTGGGGCTTTGGTATTTTCCATGTGTGTCACTTAAGGATGGAAAATGTATTTGAAACTTCAGCATCTGACAAGTGAAATTATTTTCAGAAGTTTATGAGAAGCAGACATGACAAACCAAATCAGAATGTCAGACCAAATTTGAAATGCGATAATGTTTTTTCACTGTGATTTCAAACTTTTAGCTTTCTAAAGGAGAAAAAATGTGCCTTACGCCAGTGGATGAATATGCTGTAACTGTAGCCTGTGGACTTCTATGGCCTTATATTTCACTTTGGAGGTCCCTTTGAAAATGACCAAAAACACTTGTATGGATCAGGCAGAAACTCGATTTGGGGAAAATATTAAAAAAGAAAAATTACGATCCTCTTTACAAACAGTATTATCTATAGAAATTAAGTATTTACAGAATGCAGATTTCTGGGAAGTACAGTACATTTGCAGGTTGAAATTACACCAACCAAAGTCAGAAAGCTATAGTTGACCCTATTTTGTTAAATCTTCCTATTGACAATAAGAAAACAAGTCTCAGATATGTCTCAACTTCTGTGTCTGTCAGAATCTTATTTTTTTGGAAGAAACTGAAGAACAACGTTTTCTGATTGTAGCTCAACTGATACATTGTTAAGCAATATTGAAGTATAGGCTTTAGTGGGAGAAAAATTTTGCAGGTGTTTTGTTGTTGTTAGTTCAGATTGGGGTAGGATTTTAAGCGCAGGAATTTTTGTATAGTGAACTTCACTTTTTAGGAAGAATATTTTATAAAAAAAAATAAGAATAGGTTTATGTGTTCTTTTCTTCCCAGTTCTTTAAAGAAAATCCGTAAAATTGAAGATCCTGAAATCTTGTTTTAAAACAGTAAAAGATTCCTGTACATATAATTTTTAATATGAAGAGGTTAGGGAAAGCCTTCTCTGGCTTACCTGATGTTTCTCTCTAGGAGTCTTTTATGTCTTAAACAACAACAACAACAAAAACGAATTCTGATTTTTTCAGTTTAAGTAGTCACATTGGATCTGAGTAATGATGTCGTGCTTCAGAGCTTGTCGTTGGACTCTGGATTTTTATAGATACGTACACAAATGACTACATGTCAGCACATCGCAGTAATTATTTGAAGCAATGCAAATCCAAGTTAATAATCTTTTATTGAGGACTAACTTGAGTCTGACTGACACAACTCTGCCAATGCTGTGGCACAGCAGAAAACATGCAACTTGAGATCTTTCCTGTTTCTTCCTTTTTTATATTAATTTAGGACTTTAAAACCCTTTGTCACTTAACTTTTTCCTTCTTTGTTCTGTGATGATTGTTGACTTCCCGAGTAGACAGTACTAGTACTAAGATCAGCAACGGGGAAGAACTGACTTTAGATATCATAATGAATTCAGAAAAAAAAAATGCAGGCCTAGTAATGTTATTCCTTAGTTCCTTTTTAACTGTTTTTCCCAGCACCAAAACAAAATAATGTTGGGCAAAATCCCCTTAAACAAGAACGAGGGTTGGTGTTCGCTTTCTTGCGGGAGATAGAGCATTGTTATTTTCTGTTTGTAATATGAAAATGGCTTAAAATTTTGAAGAAGACGTATGTAACCTTTGGAAAAATCTATCACTTAACAGGCAGCTCACTTGATGACTTAACTCTTCCTGTTTTGAGTTCTTGTAGAGACCTGGTGTTTTGGGTGGAGCTAGCTAACAGTTACAGGTCTATAGAGATGTTGACAGGGCCTTATCAGTTAATGTTTGTATAATGCTGTATTAAATCAGTATGCTTATTAAAACACATGTAATTGAATTCTTTAATACAGTTCATGCAATGTGTATTAAGCTTCAGCAAAGTCCCGTTTTTGTGAGATGCAAAAAGAAAACCTGGAGAATAGCAGTCTCCAACTACTGTTGAATTATTGAAAGCTGAATTTACAGAATCTTTTAAAACTGCTCTTAATTCTTTGTCTTTCTTCAAGATTGACTAAATAGGGAGGAAGCTTGTGACTTTACTGTTTTGTTTGATGGTTTACCTGTCTGCAGTGTATACTGCACATTTTTAATATAGATGTGCATGACTTCTGAGTGTTCTGTGTAGCATATGCTGTGCTAAATAAACACGTGTGTATATTGCTGTCTGTTATCATTACATGGCTGCATTAATAGAAAAGGTAGTTTTTTAAAAGTGCCACTTACCAGTCATACTCAGTGCAGTGTTGTGAATGTTATCTGCGTGTCTGTTGTCCAAATCTGTTCATGACTGTACATTTGCCTTTAGTCTTTGCTCAGGTACTCATGTGGAGCAGTTTGGTGCTTTTTTTCTTCTAAGTGCTGGAAAATAAAAACAGTGAACAAAAGCATTTTTGTAAGAGGTTTAAATTATATAATGAACACTTTTATTCCGTCCCCTCTCACCCCCACCATCTTGAATGCATACAATAAAGGTCTTATCTGATGAAGCCTGCCTGTTACAAAATCTTAATCTATTCACCCTAAGCTTTTATACTTACCTTTTTATTGTAATTAAATATGAACTAAAATGAAAGATGATGGTTAAGTAACCTAGTTTATATATATGCAGCATCATCTGCATACAAGTTGTTCTATGCAGAATATAATTAGTTATGTTCTTAACAGGACAGAATTAGTTATATTAGTTAAATACACTTCTTATTCTAGAAGATTTTGACCTTGTCAAATTAACTTGCATGTAACTAAACATGTAAACCATGTCTGACTATGGGCTTTGGTGCAGCCTCCCACTGCCTCGACACACCCTGGGCCGGGGGAGCCCTATGGGCTTTCGTACGACCTCCCGGGGCCTCTGTGCGCCCTGGGCCAGGGGGCCCCTATGGCCTTTCATGCGGCCTCCCGGGTCCTCTGTGGGGCCTGGGCCATAGGCCACCTACGGGCTTTTGTACAGCCTCCTGGGGCCTCCGTGCGCCCTGGCCTAGGAGCCACCTACAGGCTTTCATGCGGCCTCCCGGAGCCTCCGTGCGCCACTGGCCAGGAGGCACCTACGGGCTTTCGTACGGCCTCCTGGGGCCTCCGTGTGCCCTGGGCCATGGGGGCCTTATGGGTTTTTGTGCAGCCCCCGGGGCATCCGTGTGCTCTGGGACATGGGGGTCCTACAGGCTTTCGTGCAGCCTCCCGGGGCTCCATGTGCCATAGGCCGGGGGGCTCTATGGGCTTTCATGCGGCAATGATCTTGTTAAAAAGAAAGGTACTAGGGAGAAGTGGATAGGAAGTCCCAGAGGTAGGAAAGTAGTATTTTTAAATGGAGCAGTGTGTAAGTCCTCATAACTTGGATCAAAAATATGCTACTAAATCAATACAATAGCATTGGGCTGATCCGAGAGCTCTTGACATTAACAGAGAAGTATCAAAGATTTCAAGCAGGAGCTTTGCCTTTGACTTTAACTAAATTTAGCAGATTTTTCAATTAGCTGTATGTTACTTGCTCAGAAAGCAAAATGGCTAGAACAGCTCCAGGCTTAGGAAGGGATGTACACACCAAAAGATTAAGGGTCTTGATTGTTTACAGGGTATAAGAATGCATTAGTTAAATACTTATACATAGACTAAGAAAGCAACGGGGACTAAAAATTCTGACATTAGTTAGCAGACAACTATTGTGAACTGTGTTACCAACTGATGATTCAATATGCCTCAGATTGAAATAAATTAATCAGAAGTCATGTATATTAAAATAAATAAATAAATAAAATTTCCATGCATGTTTTAAACAGCTTATTAAAACATCTGAAATTACTCATACTTATCACTCTAATGAAATCTAGCACTACGGTTTACCTTTGTAATTAAATTTACTTTTGCTTTTCTACCATGAACAGCAGCTAATAACAAGGGACTAATTCTGCCTTTGGGTCTGATGATGAAAATTTGCTGACTCTCTTTTTTTTTGTTTGTTTATAATATACCTTAAATATATCTCTGTGCTTCAGAATTGGAGAGAAGGCTTGTTTGGAGGGTTGCTAAGGAGTAATTATGGGGACAGGCAGATGGGGGAATGAACGGACTGGTTTGTTTTTTAAACTTACAATTTCTTCTAGGTATTTTGCATTCAGTCTGCAGAAGAAAGACTCAAGGCTATTTAATATGGAAACCCCAAATAGAAGAGCGAGTAAAATACTGCATTATTCAAAAGAAATGAGCTTGGTTTAAATAGCCATAGCGCCACCTTACGTGGTTTTCTAGGTGAAGCTAGGAAATCATCCAGCAACTGCTGTGGGGCATTAATTCAAATTTTCAGCTACACACTATCTGGCTACATAGTGAGAAAGACTCAGCCTACCTAGAGACCTTAACTTTGAAAGCAGGGACAGTTCTGTTTCACAAACAGCGAATTCCGGTGCAGAGGATCCTGATGTACCTGTGGTGACATGGAGACTCTGGTAAGCCAGAAATTACCCTAGAACAAGCAAAACAGGCAAAGTTTATGTTTTTCAAGCCAACTATGCTTCATTGCCCCTATTTTCATAGAATCATAGAATGCTTAGGGTTGGAAGGGACCTCTAGAGATCATCTAGTCCAGCCCCCTGCACACGCAGGGTCACCTAGAGCACGTGGCACAGGACTGCGTCCAAGTGGGTTTGAAGATCTCCAGAGAAGGAGACTCCACAACCTCTCTGGGCAGCCTGTTCCAGTGCTCTGGCACCCTCACTGTTAAGAAATTTTTCCTTAAGTTCCTATGGAATTTTTGGTGATGCTCTGATAGTCGAGAATGTTAATCTTTTTTTTTTCCTTAAAGATACAAAGATATCTAGCATAGTTTAACATGATGAAGATTGGTTATTTTTCAACAAACAAAGAAGTCAAAAGTGTGTATGTGCACATGCATGAATGTGTGTGTTGAAGAGGGAATCATGAGGGTGGAAATGCTTTCAGTTATTTGTCAAACACAAAATTAAAACAATTAACAGTACCTTAACAAACAAAAAGGGTAAAGTAACCTGATTGCCTTGGATAGGGTCTGTCTTTTTACAAGTTTCTCTGCCATTACTGCTGTTTCTGGTACTCGATGAGTCTTGGCCAAGTTTTGTTTGTAAAATTTCAACCAAAAAAAAGATGTAAAACTTACATCAGAAATACAAATTTATAATTTAGAGAGAGATTTTAAGTGTTATTCACTAAAATATTCTCTAAACAGCTGAGTGAGGGGTATAATGAAATTACGGTCAAAAAGTTAGAGCAGCTTTGAGATGAAGAATGTTATAAAATAGGGCCAAGGTAAATTAGTGTTAGTGTAGTCTGGTTTGGTTTCTATCCTAGCAGGAGACTATTGGCTGTCTATTAAATCAGGATTAAAAAACAAAACAAAACTTTCATTAAAATGTTATGATTTGGGATCTTGAAACAGACCTGACTATTCTCTCTCTCCAGCATCACAAAAATGATCTATACCTGATTGTGCTTGAAAACCATTCAATGAATTGTAATTATCTGTTAGTCACCGTATTGGAGATATCGTGTACAAATTTTTAATTAAAAATAATATTTTGATACAGCTCTGTTATCTCTGTTGGGAGTTGTTTTAGGCTTCTTATATACCTGCCACCCATTTTCTGCAATACGGCTCAAGGAGGAGGAAATGCACTGCACTGTTCAATAGCAATATGTCTTAACAGCATTAAGGATGAAACTCTCAAGGGGCTTTATGTCATGAATGGAAATGGAATCATTGCTGTATTTTTGAACTCCTGCTAACGTCACTGACACCCACCTATAGTCCACTAGAAATATAAGTGGAGAGATCAGTTTGCTCGCAGAGTACAAGCAGACTAACCAAGACGGGACACGCCAGAGCCAATTCGCTGGTAAGCTTTATCTTAAAGAGAGCAAAAAAAAGAACCTGATACTTTTTTTTTTCTTGAATCGAACTGTGAAATGCACCTCTAGTGCATTATACAAAATTGTATTATTATTGTAGTTATTAATGTGTAGGACATTTTTGATTTCATGCAGTTTTAACATTTGAGCTACCTGTGTCTCAAGCCCTATTTTTACATTTTCCTTGGAGCACACAAAGCTGCAACAGCTTAGCCAAAATAAAGACCTGTACTGTCGTTATAAAGGTAAATTTACAAATGTTAATGTTTTATATGTCAAGTGTCAAACTAGTCTCTTTTAGAAAACAAATCCAGTATTGAGAAATAGCTTTGCTATGGGAAACATTTTTTTTAATATATGTTTTTTTCCTATTCCTCCTGTTTTTCCCCTATAAAAATAGGGAAAAGAGTTGTTAGCACACACATGAATTTAGTCTTTAGTAGGTAGATTCTCCTTGCCACCTGTAAATTATTTTTGTCACCCTGCTGCATTGTCAGACTTGCTTCATTTGGTTACAGTGACAGTACCTGGTTCTTCATTCTTCCTACAGATACCCTGTTCATCGCTTCACCATGTGGAAGGTGGTGCTCCTGGTTTTATACACAGTATTGGCTGTAAGAGGATTGGCAAAGTGTGCTCCTTTCCAACCGGAAGAAAAATGGAAACCTTTAGATAACCCTAGAAACCGAGATCTGGTAAGGAAAAGCTGCAAGAAAAAAAACCTTAGCTTTACATGGTCTTGCTTGTTGTGTGTTTTCCATCATAGGACTATTTTTCTACTAAAGTTAAATATAAGTGGGGCCTGTTGAGCATAGTGAATGACAGGAGCTGGGCGAGCATCCTTCAGTACCCGGTAACCGAAGAGGCACTCTGAGGGTACGGTAGAACCTGTCCTTACAGCTCCATGCAGCAGCTTTACTTTTAAAATGCGTGCTTTTGTACGTAAACCAACTCATTTTATGAAACAGAAGAGGAATTATTATTATGTTTCTCTCAAACGTGTATTGTTCATTAGATGACATTTCAATCTTCTAAAAAAGCAGGGTTGCAGCTGACATCATTAATAGTGTCTGAAGATTTGAAAGTTAGTTACAGCTAAGAAAGTAACAATGGAAAATTTGCAAGATATTAGAAGGCATTGGTGAAGGAAAACATCACTTTCCCACATCTTTTACACGAGTTATAAAGAAAGATTATTTTAGGAAACATTAATTAAAACTTTATGCTTTAAGCCTTTTAGTTGAAATCAGTTCTTCACTGTTTGCCCTTAGGAAGGTTTTTTATAAGAGACTTGTTTCAAATGCTGCTTGAATCCTCTGGTTCAGAGAGGAGAATAGACTATCAGCAGGTGCTTGGTGGCCTCTGGACACTTCGCTAGTTATACAAGTCATGGAAGGAGAGGAGAAGGCTATCACCTACTTTGTGCAAGTTTATGATACAGAAAAGTGTTTATGATATGAAAATAGTGGGTTTCACCCATATAGGAGCAGCCATTATGTCTACTTTGTTTCAGTAAGAATAATTAATCTGGGGTGTGCATGCTGTATTTTCAAATGTGAAATATCTTTAGTTTTTCAGAACGCTCCAGGCTTATTTTTCGGGCAGGGGTCTTGATCTCAGAAAGTTCCCAGCTACCTTCACTATGAACAATGAAGGACCAAGGCCTGTCACGGTCTACTCAGATCCCATTGCTTCTGCATTTGCAGATTATGAAGAAAAGAAAAATACTTTTCCAAGTTACTTCAAAGGCTGAGAGATAACACTGACTGAGGTAAAAGAGGGTGTCCTTCCCTGAATTGTAATCAAGTGAAAGATTTGGTTCAGGTGATTCTCATTTCTGTATGAAACAAAAAATCAATTTGTTATTGAGAAAAAAATTCACTATGTGCACCTTAATTCTTGCCTGAAACTGTTTAAATATCACTGAAGTAGAGATTTATTAGGAATTTACTACTACTGTAAAATAACATATGGTGATTGTGCAGTAAGAAGTAATATGAAGTTAGGTCTATACAGATGGTATAATTTTATTTATATATACATATATATATAAATCAGATGGATCAAGCTTGCATTATTCATAAACCTAGGCTGAATTTATAGCAGATGTATTTCCAGTTTTTTATTATTTTATCCATGCATAACCACATTTTGCAATAAATCCTTTCATAGCTCCTTCTGAAGGTAAGTGAATACTGGTAATTCTGAGAACAGGCAAACAATTGTCTTATCTCATTTTACAAATAGATGAAGATTTCAATAAAACTGGAAAACGAGCAGTTAGGCGATTTGCCCAACATCTTAAAATAATTAATTTGTAATTAATATTCAACCTGGGATTTTTAGCTCTGTCCAGTTCTCTGTCTACATCTATCTCCCTTTGTAGTCAAAAGGGCAATATTCTTATACACAATGGAGACAAAATTCCAATTCTTTTTTTTATTGGGAATGTTAATGAAAACTGCATTCTGATTTTATTACTAGTTCTCTTTTTTGGTGTGTTTTTGCATCTGGGAAAAAATAAAAGTGAACTAGACTATCAGTATTGTGCATAACTAGTTAGAAGCCGTCTCTAAAAGGGATGCTGTAGCTGAAACATTACATATAGCAGTGGTGAAAAAGAAATACTAGTAGAAATAATTTATCTTACATAATTCAAGATAATTGTGGTAGTCTCTTCTGCCATCAGAACTGTGTTGCAGATGTGCTGAATTTTAAATTTAGCCCAAGCAGACCTAAGATGAAAAAGACCTTAAAAATGTATTTTTCAAACTGGTTATTCTTTAAAATCTCCAAAGACTGTTTGCTTAGAATATGAATATTGGATAAAAAACATGAAATTGCTGAATTTCTGAGCATTTCTTTTTATTATGCCACATACAGCACCCAGGAATGTTCAATGCCTTATGCACAGCAGAAACAAATCAGAAAATGGCAGGAGAAACTAGTTAAGTTGCTACTTACTTGTGACTTACCCAGTCATTGACTCAAATGAAATTCTATAGCCTGGAAATGGTAAAAAGTCTCTAATTAGCCTCAGAGAAGAAAATGTCTCGACTAACAAATTGTTAATAGTCTGGAAAGTAGGGACCCCTGCAGGCAGTGGGAGTATTTCAGTCAATGTTAGCATGGGTTGGGTCCTACACAGGGTGTTTTTGGCTAATATCTTTTTGTTTCCTCCTTCAGATGTTGACATTTGAACATCATGTGAATTGGGAACCTTCACAGCATGTTACTGCTTTGACTTTTTAACACTTATTTGACAATTAAAATTTTTCCTCACTGCCACAGTTTTTACTTCATGTATTGCTCTAACTGGCCCATTTTCTAACTAACTGGTAATGCTGTTAACAAATGTGTGGTGTTTGGCTACAATGGTTTGCCCAGGAGACTCCTGTTTGTTTAAACAAGAATAAATAACAGGAAGAGCTCACTTCAATAGCGTTTTTTATTATTACCAAGTGTCCTTGTTCAAAATAGATGTTACCTTTGCATTTCTCACAACTAAACGCTGCAACATTTGAAAAGAAAAGAAAAGAAAAGAAAAGAAAAGAAAAGAAAAACGAAATTCTTTCACCCAAGGGCTTTAGAAACTTCTCCAGGTCCACCTCTAACAGAAAGTACCCCCAAAGGTGCCAGGGGCTCGGTGTGACCTGCCTCCAGTCCCCCACTCCTCACACAGATCTCTGGATATTACAAGGAAAACTAGCGCCCCCAACGGCC